GGGGGGGGGGGGGGGGGGGTTAATAACGGCTAAACAATAGTGTATCCAATATTAACTTATAGACATCTGATACCTATAGCAGATTAAAACCTAATTTTGATAAACAATTACATCACACCGATATAAAGAACAAGGTGCAGTTTAGTTTTTAGAATAAAATAATTACCTCTAATATTAATTTGATTTAAACAACTTTTTTAGAATGTGTGACAGATATCAAGTTAGTTCTGACAATAGTGTTCCTGCTTTTACTCATCATCAGAACAGGTTTAAATTTAAAGTTTTCTTAATAATAATACATCACGGGCCTTGTATCATCAACATTACTGTCATTAATAGTTTATTGTGCTGTATCATGCAACTTGCATCTTATACTTTGCTGTATCATGCAGCTTGTATCTTATACTTTGATGTATCATGCAACTTGCATTTTATACGTTGCTGTATCGTGCAGCTTGTATCTTATACTTTGCTGTATCAGGTAGCTTGTATCTTATACTTTGCTGTATCATGCAGCTTGTATCTTATACTTTGCTGTAGCATGCAGCTTGTATCTTATAATTTGCTGTATCATGCAGCTTGTATCTTATACTTTGCTGTATCATGCAGCTTGTATCTTATACTTTGCTGTATCATGCAGCTTGTATCTTATACGTTATGGCATCATAGAGCTTGCATCAAGTAGCACTTCATTACTACATCATGGAAGATCATGTATTTTGCTGCATCATGGAAATTTTACTCTTGTATCCTGTACTTTGTTGCAACATGAAACTAGTATCAGATATCATGTATGTACTTTGCTCCATCACGGAACTCTCTGATAGGCGGGTCCAAACTGCATAGTAAATTGTGATTTTTTTATTTGTATTATCTCGTGCTTTGTAGTTGAATAAAAATATAAAAATAAGAAAAACTTGAACTTGGTATCATGTCATTTGCATCATCATTGATCTTGTACTTGGTATCATGTAATTTGCTGCATCATTGATCTCTAGTATCAGAAATCATGTACTTTACTGCATCATGGATCTTGTATATCCTGGTATCATGCACTTAATGTTGCATCATGAATCTTATATCCAGTGAAAACTCTATTGTAAATCTTAGATTTGCTGCTTTGTAAAAAAAATTGTTAATGAAATTAATATTTTAGGACGAGTCGTTTAGACTTCTACAGTATTCTTCACTAAATCAACCCACTACATGATATGGGATAAAAGACTCAATGGTGAAATATCAATTTAATAAATAATTTTCACGGGTTTCCCGTATTTACCCTTACACAACGTTAATAACACGTTAATTCAGGTGTTAGCAGATTCCTAACTGTTTGATTGTTAATGAAAAATTCAAATTGGTCTTTAAGGCAAGCTCTTAATATTATTTTTCCTGTCTTCGATTTTAATCCTGTGTTCATTGGTTGGGTTTACAATGTTGGGCATTTTTCTATAAAGTTTTCGTGAACACAAGGACCAAATTTGTAAAAATAATCCTTTATATACATAAAATACATTATTGGCCATTCAAATCATCTCGCTTCAAACTCTACTTTGAGATTTTGAAAATAAGACTTGACAAAAGTGATAAAATATAACTAATCAAATGAGTAAAAATGCAGCTTTAATCATATTAGCTTTGACGTTAATAAAACTACTGGCCATTATCAAAGAAATCAGTTGTTGCATTAGCGGCCATTTTGGAATTTTTTATCTCGTTTTCCCGCATTTGAGCCTAACCAGTGTGCAGATAGAATTACATACATTTTTAAAATTACTACTTAATTGGCATAGATCCCCTTTCTGCATTTAAATCCTAGGGCCAAGGGTACTTAACATATTTATCTTAATGAATGTTGCCAAGTGATTATTATTTCTAAAACAGATAGCGGTATATCATAATAGATTCCATACCTACAATAACATATAGTAAAGTGCGTGTGTGTATGTAAAAAATAAATTGTATTTCCAACTGTTAACTGATTACAATGACCATAATTGTTAAATAATGTTCGAATTATGTAATTTACTAATCAAGATATTCTATTTTTATTCTAGCATTCTTTCCTGGCAGAAAAATGAACATCCATGTCTAGAATATGAAAAATTGTATGTTTTCTCCTCATAATCTTTATAAAACCGGTTTTTGCTGAAAATATTTGTTACTTTGTAGTTGTTTAAGGATCATGTACAAACTCTGAGGAATGTCTGAAGAAACGAATGTCGATATGATGTGTTTATTCCGTAAATGTGATAAATAGAACAACTGAGCCCCTAAAAGTGCATCTAAATGCACACATAAAATTCTTTTTATCACATTAACAAAATGAACTTGTATTTAAATTAAGAGATGTAAATTGGTGTGTGAAAAACTACAAAAATCTTGAAGTTTATTCGTTCAAAATATCTGTAAGAAAGTTGTTTTGAATATCTTCGTTTAATTATGTAAAATGTATAGTTTGTAAGCTTTGTAACAATTATTAAGAAGCATCAATTTTAAAAACAAATTCTATTCGGCCCTAACCAATCTTTTGCACAAAATTAAAAACGAGAAAAAGTTTAATTTTTCAAAGGATATCTTGACTTCTATACAGCGCTTTAATTTGCTTGCTAATACAATATACATGTACACAGTTGTACCATGTACGCAGTTGTACCATGTGTACACAGTTGTTCACAATCGTTTCTTTATGTTCGGCGTGTTTAACAATGAAATTATAAAATATTAAGAAATGTTTTTATAAAAATGTAATCTTTCATCTTTCCAGTTTTCAAATTGTTCATAATCCGGTTTATGTTTTGTACATCTGTTGTTAATAATTACATTTAATACTAAATAAATGTACTTAAGTGTACATTTGTAGCTTGAACATTTCTTTGCAATAAAACACAGAACTGTAAACATACAGCTGCACAATACAGAGTTCTTAACATTATAGAGTAACCGTTTGATGCCATCATACATTAGATAAATTGTTTGAACAAACCAGTTATACTTTAAAGCCTAGAGTAACTATTGAATCTTTAAATTAATACTTTGATTCCTCTAGATCAAAGTAATCCTTCGATGATGATTGTTCAAGTTAACCATCTGACACTGTTGGTTCTATTCAATCAAATCTGATAAATCATGGAAACAAAGAAACTTTCTGATGTTAAAACAATTAAGTGAACTCGAAATTTATGTTCCATATTCAACTTATGGTCATTGTAATCTACTATTCCTGAATGTTGTATACATAAATTTTGAAAATAAACTTGAAAAAAGTACATTTTTATACTCTATACCGCGCTTTGTCGTTAATTACGATTCACTCAACTTAGAATCTCAAAACCAAGCTAAGAATATTCCCGAGCTCACCAATCAAAATTTGAGGCAAATCGGTCCAGGGGCTCGTGAGTTCTGATGGAACATCCAAACAGAGATAGAGAAGATGTGTTAATTTTTATAAATAGTGTGTTTTATTATTATTTTATTACATTATTTCTAAATTATTGGGATTTATTCATTTTCAGAGACATCAAGAAAATTTATTAAACGTCATCGTGACAATTTTTTAATGAGGGATTTGAACTATTATACCTAAATCTCAGTTATTGTAAAAATGAATAAATAGTCATGAATATGAGGGAACAGTTTTATATGATTATTCAATTAAAATGTTAAAACCTACTTCTTTTATACAAAATTGTATATATTTTTGAACTTTCGTGCAAATTTGACACAGTTTTATATAAAATTTCTCAAAAATAACTGATATAACTTTCATGAGTCACGATCAAGAGCTTAGCTTTCAGCCTATACCCCCATTCATTTTTCCTTTACAGCCCCTCTAAAAAAACGACATTTTAAAAATACTTTCGATGTCACAAATCTGTTAAGCTTCAAATAAAACGAGTGAAAAAACGGAATAATTTTCGTCTGAACTGATTTATAGGATTTGAATATTTTATCATTAATTCTGGTGACAGAAACCGGAAATGATGATAAAATCATGTAATTACCCACGAGCAAAGAATGCGAATACAAAAGACGACATTCTCGTTTTTCTTCCATATTAAATCGAATAGAAAAAAAGAAGAGGCAGTTGCCATTCTCTGTTGCGCGCAATGCTCCGTGAAATTCCAAAACAGAGAGAGGGGGATTGAATTTTGTAGATCCAGAAAAATAATATCTGTGGGATGCCTGCGTAGAGACTAGCAGCTGGTGGGGTCTTAAATGTAAGACATGTGGCCGCAGCGCTCGGTCCCCTAGACTGTCCTAGCCGCAGCGCTAGGTCCAGAAAGTGTCTTAACCTAACCTAACCCTAAATAAATACTAATTTCTGGATCTACAAAATTCAATCTCCTTCTCTCTGTTTTTGAATTTTACGGGGCATGTGCGCACAACATAGAATGGCAAATCCCAAAGGAAGATGCTATATCGTTTGCACTAATGTCCGATTGAACGAGGGAGGGAGTCCAGAGTTCCTCAAATAGTAATCACCGCCACCCAAATCTGTTTTGCGGCGAGTGCGCTCCTCAATTGGTAATCTCCACCACCTCAAATAGTAATCATCCCCAAAAAGCATAAAATTAAATCGTTTATTTCTTAGAAATAAGACCATATTGACCTCTTTTAATGGCCCTATGGTGTACAATATTGTTAAAGCTTTCTTTATTGCTCCTTAGTTTCGAAAATAAATCAATAAATATGCCACACCAAGTGCTAGAAATATATTACGTTTTTAATTTCAAGTTTCGCTTTAAGAATGTTTGCGGCATTTTCCTCTGAATGTTGTTTTAAACTCCTTATACAGAGAGAAAACTTTAACCCATTATTAGTGGGCTAAATACTTCATTTTCAGTAGTGGGTGTGATGAGACTAATTTTTCAAAATTTTATGTCCTTTCTATGCATATAATTAGTTTTGTTGTAGATGTTGAACTCGAGTAGGCGAATACAAAAATCTAAACACTGTGAAGGTTTTATGAAAATATCTTTTAAATGGAGATGGATATTACTTTGGGTGGGATGAGATAATTTATAGTAAACAGGCAGCCCGACCTTTTTTGTATCTTGACGCCAGTCATGAAATGCAGTCATTAAAGTGGCGAATTGGATCTAAAATTCAGCTAAAATGAACTGTGCGTTGATTCTCAGTTTTTGTTGACCAAACAAATCTGAAAATAATTTGAAAATTTAATTTAAGTCAATACAGATGCCATAAAACCCCGATAGATGTCGAAAATTGAGTTACAAGTGCATTAAATTCAAATCACAGAAAACATAATTTTACGGTGATTACTAATTGAGGTGGTGGAGATTACCAATTGAGGAGCGCGCTTGCCGCAAAACAGATTTGGGTGGCGGTGAATACTATTTGAGTAACTCTGGACTCCCTCCCTCATTAAACTAACGTACTTTTACACTAAAGTCAGCTGATCAGTAACCGGTTTTTAGTACGATCGAACATTAAAGTTCAAATGAACAAAAATTGGGTTTTCTGTGTTCAAATGGACTAAAATTTTATTTTCCCGCCCGAAATATTTTAGTACAAATGATCAAATTAGTGCAATTGATCTGGAATACTAAAAATATTTGTTCAGGCGCACTATTTTTTTCTGCAAATATTAGTGCAATTGAACGTTAGTGTAAATGAACATTTTCAACAAAAAATTTGTTCACACGGACTAACTTTTTTTCTGTAAATATGGTAATGGTAACATTTTAGATTTAGTTTGATTGAACATTTTTTTGTTCATTTGTACTAATAATATTTTTGGGCAAATGGTAAAATTTTAGTTTTTAGTTCTATTGAACATTTTTTTTGTTCATTAGTACTAACATCAATTTTACCGGAACTTTAACCTTCAGTTCAATCGAACATTTTTTGTTCATTCCCATTAATTAAATGAACCGAATTCCGCTAGAATTTAAAAAAATAGTTCTCCATGTGCTCAAAAAACATTCCACGTGGTTTTTAGTTTGATTGAACAATTAGCTGTTCAGACACACTAAAGTCCGAATGAACGTTAGTGTAAATGTACGCTAGTCCGATGAATCATTAGTGCAAACGATACGACACCGAAAAAAAATCCATGACGGGGTTAATTTTCATGAAAGAAGTTTATGCAGATTAATGAGATAGAACAGTTCGTTTGTAATACATTAGCTGAATTTAAACACAAAATACTGAACCGTTCAGGTCCAAAAAATGTATCTGGTCTGCTAGATAAAAAATACTGCTAAGAAAAACATTTCAATTTTCTGAAAATCTGCATAAAACATTTTCAAATTATCAGAAATTATAAAATGTTTAGCAACATTTATAAAAATGAAAATATCAAGAAATAACAATGATAGTTTAAATATGAGAAAATCAGTTACATTGGCCATAATACTATTGCCATAAATGCACTGGCCATAATGGTTAAACTTGCCATAATTACACTTGCAATACTTGCACTTGCCATTGCTACAAATAACTACAACAAAATACAATTAACAAATCTAATTAAGGGACAGCTAAGGATCAATATGGTTAAGGCATTGTTGTTCTAAAGGACAAGTTTTGTATTGTCATTGATTGTTCAGCAAGCTCTTCCCACCAGTATTAGTGTTCATATTGTCAGAAAACTAAAGTTGGGAATTTTCACGAGAAAATTTGACGTATTTATGAAAAAAATAGTTGAATTTTTATCTTTTTAGAGTTAGAAAATTATAGCAAATGTAACCATAATGGCAAGTGTACGTATGGCAAGTTTAATTATGGCAAATGTATTTAAAGCAAAAGTATCTAAAAATCAAGCTGCCATTGTGAAAGATGATATATTTAAATATCTAAAATCAGTCTGACAAGGATAATATGAATATAAAAAAATCAATCTTACAAGAGTTGGGAATTTTAGAATTGGATTTAATCCCAATCGATTTACCTGAATATCCAATATGAGCTGGGAACTTTTGAATGGTGGATATTCTCTCTTTTTCTTAATCTTCTTATTTATCTCCCGATAAATTAACCGATCGGGATTAAGGATATCCTATTCTAAAGTTTTCAGCTGCGAATGATTTATTTATTTAAAAATCAGGCTGCCAAAGAGGATTTAAATATCTATCTAAAAATCAGTCTTGCAAGGATGATTTGAATACCTAAAGATCAATCTTGCAAGGATGATTTAATTATCTAAAAGCAATCTTATAAGGATGATTTAAATTCTTAAAATCTTTAAATATCAGAAAATTAGTCTTACATGGATGATTTAAATACCTAAAAATCATTTTTACAAGGATGATTTAAGTATCAGAAAATCAGGCTGCCAAAGATGATTTAAAAATCAGAAAATCAGTCTTCCAAGGGTGATTTAAATATTTAGTAAAAAACAGTCTTTCAAGAATGATTTAAAACCTAAAAATTAGAATTATTTGAATATCTAAAACTATAGCTGCCAAAGATGATTTAATTATCAGAAAATCAGTCTTACAAGGATGATTCAAATATCAGAAAATCAGTCTTACAGGAATAAATCAATTATGAGAAAATCAGTCTTACAGGGATGATATAAATATCAGAAAATCAGTTTTACAATGATGATATAAATATCAGAAAATTAGTTTTACAATGATGATATAAATATCAGAAAATAAGTTTTACAAGGATGATCTAAATATCAGAAAATTAGTTTTACAATGATGATATAAATATCAGAAAATAAGTTTTACAAGGATGATCTAAATATCAGAAAATCAGTCTTACAAGGGTGATTTAAATATCAGAAAATCATGCTGCCAAAGATGATTAAAATATCAGAAGATCAGTTTTGCAAGGAAGTGTCAAGACGCTTTGAATTTCTGGTGCAAGAAAACAAACTAATATTACTTTTCGGCTCAAGGAAAGCATTTGTGTTTAAATATTAGTTAATCTCATGCAGTAAGAAATCAAAATTTATGTTAAACTGTTTTTTTATCGATTCAAGGAATATACAAAAATCTGTTTAAAGGAACTGCCGACGTAATTTCATTAAAAGAGTCACTTTCCTAATTTACAATAAAAATATTCTTAAAACCGTATCTAAGTGACTACGAGGCAAATAACGTTGTTTCTCTTGAGATAAATTCAATCAATTTCCTGAATTGTTTTTGCTGCATAAATTGGTCACTTTTATAATGAAACAACAAGGATATCTCCATCCATTTCGTGCAGACAAATGTTCAACACATAAACTCTTGTGATGGAGATTTATTTGACATTACTTCAACCTTCCCTTTAGTATTTATAGGTCAATAGT